GACCGTCTCGCAACCGTCGTTCCGCGGAGCTTCCCCGTCGAGGTTCGGAGAAGCATGGTGGTTCACAAAGTGCTGTGCCTGCCATGAAATCTGCACATGGAGGTTCACAAAGTAATGCGCCTGCCACGAAATCTGCACAGCGAGGTTCACAAAGTGCTGTGCCTGCCACGAAATCTGCACATGGAGGTTCACAAAGTGCTGTGCCTGCCACGAAATCTGCACATGGAGGTTCACAAAGTGCTGCGCCTGCCTCGTAAACTGGAGCTAGAGCTACTAACTGGAGCTAGAGCTCTTGAAACTAGAGCTACCTGGAGCTAGAGCTATTGACACTAGAGCTACCTGGAGCTGGAGCTATTGAAACTAGAGCTACCTGGAGCTAGAGCGCTTGCAACTAGAGCTAACTGGAGCTAGAGCTCTTGAAACTAGAGCTAACTGGATGATGAGTGGTGTATAATGAGTGGTGTATGATGAGTGGTGTATGATGAGTGGTGTATGATGAGTAGTGCATTGATGAGTGGTGTATGAACAGTTCTTGAATGTCCGTAACACGGAAGTTTCGTTCTATTAAACTTCCTTTGATCACTGTGAGCATCCTGGCCGATGATTTCTGGTACTTGCACGCAGCTATGCAGCAACGGAAACAACATGAAACAAGGATTGCCACACGCAAACATGCTACGCACATCTTTACGTGTTGCTAAACATGCACTCATGCCGAAACGGATGGCAAGAGCTGGGGTGCTGGCCTCCTCATTCGCTCCAGCGTTACTCTGCATCTGTACGAAGGTGCCTCCACACACTTCAATGTTGGCATCCGCTGCTCTCATGACCTGGAGAGGCAGGACACAACTGCTCATGAATCTTAGCATTTCCCGCCAATCTTAGGCTTGGGATTTGGAGGTTCATTTCTTGTACTTCGCAGCTGGTTTGATTGTGTAGTGAAAACGTTCATTGATGTTGGCGGCTCCAACTGCCTTCATTTTGAGGTGTTCAGCGCTCACTGACTCTCTTTATGGAGAAAACCATCAATGCCCTTCGCCCAGCAAAAATGCAGCAGCAATACACATGCATAAGGAAGCTAATGTTCCGTGAATATGCTACTGACTTGCAATAGCACCTGGGCAAGCTGATTCCACAGATCGCTTCCATCCGATGCACCTACCTGCCAGGGAAGTTGCTCTTTTTTGACTCCTCTAATGGCTCTAATGCCTTGTGCCACTGGTGAGAACTGCTGCTTGCGGCAATAACACCATGCATACCGAAATCATGTCCTTGCCCGAGATCGTCAGGATTACTCTCTTTTTTTCCTGTCAAGGAATGATCAACCGGACATGGACGCTGTGACTGAAACGCCAAGCAGGGACATAAGTGAAGCTTACCAGCATTGGAACGCATCAATGGATTTCAATTGGGACCTTTTTGGTTGCAATGTGCAGCATGATAAACAGCTGTGCACAGACTTCTGCACAGTTGCACTAGGCCATCGATTGCTGGGGTTTCTAGCAGGGCAATTGACATCAAACACTTGAGAAGAACTTGAGAGGCCTCTTCTGTTTGTGGAATTGCGCCCTTTGTCTGGGTGCTGGCTAAGCGCAAAGTTCCTGGCCAAGGGTTGACATTCTGACCAGTCGGAATCATTTGGAATTGCAATTTCGTGAAATCGCGTGAAATCTTTTCTGTACTGTATACTGTATACATTTATACTTATTTATAGACAGTAGATCACACTGTCTTCCTTGCCATTGTGTGTGTTTGACCTGAGGCCGACTTCTGCACGGTCGAAGGTGCAAGTCCTTTGAGCACAATTTGCAGGAGACCGGGAGCGTACGATGAGCGAACGCGGTGCCCAAGCTCCGAGCGACGCAGTGGCACGCATGAGAAACCGACGAGGCTATGTGCTCGACCCCACATGGCAAAGAGACTGAAGAAACGAGTTCCTGGATGCCTAGTAGGTCCTGCATAGTGATTGGTGCCTCATTCATGGATTCAAGATGTTTCCCTACCTTGCTGTATACAATGACCCCCCGTGCATCATCACAAACTTTGGCATTTGAAGTGGCACAGTGCTTGGCACGCAAGCTATCCAATCATGGCTGCAGCTAATGACACACGGACAGAAGCCGTTGCTGGAGCCAACATCGAAACAAAATCATTGTGGTCACTGATGTTGACCACACAGTCTATAAAACAGCCTGATGCATAAGCACCATCATCGAAAAAGGTGTGACTCGTCGTGCAACCTTCACATCCCCATAGACCCCATAGAATAAGTATACAGTCATAGTAATACTACAGTACTTACTATTGAAGTACAAATGCTTTCCTGCACAATGGTCGGTCTGGATGCAGAGATGCCGTCTTGATTGACCTGCACCAGTCTAAGGTTGGCAAAAAAAGGGCATCCCAAAGGAAACCATTTCAACATATTTATATTTCAACCTACCCAGCTTTGCACTCCTGCAAATCACCGACCGCTGCAGCTGCTGCTTCACGCAAAGCTGCACACCTAGGCGTTGTACGTATTTGGATGTTCTGAGGCATCTCTCTCATCTCTTTGAGCCAGTACAAAGCTCAAATAGAACTTGGAGCAAAGCTCGTCTTCATTGAGATCATTGTGCTTGTCAGGCGGGTCGACCGTCTCGACTTCAACTGGCCTTGAAGCAATCGAGTCTGCTTTTACCGTATGCTGCAGTTTCCCAACGAGTTGAGAACACCAACATGCATCATCATGCATCAATATGCGACGTCTTACTCAACTTTCTCCAGCTACCCTTCTCCCTTGAATATCTCGCTACGTTGACTCTGCCCATCTGGCCTCCCTAGCCATGACCTCAGTCCAGCGAAGCCGTCGAGTGCATTCTGACTAATTCGCTCTTGACATCCCTCGACCTAGTTCAATCATATCCAACGTGTCCCAGTTCCTTCTCAGGTGCGTGCACCCGAGTTTCCGGGAAGTACCCATGGCGATCCGGCGCACCAACGACACGGCCTGCACCACACGGTGTCTCCGGCGATTTGACTGGAAGTAAGGGATTGAATATACTGAAAACATCTAGAACACTGTCACTATGAGACTCCAGAACATCAGCATCCCCACCGTAGACCCAACCGCCACCAGTCGCAGCAACCTACGTAGAGCTTGCTGTGCCGGAATCATTTGCTTGAAATGGTGAATGTCTCTGTTCGGTAAGGCTCGGGACCTCCACCACGTCGCCCTTTGCAGGTGTTTACACAAGCTTAACACAGGCGGCAAACAGTTCACAAGTCTGAAATCCCAACCGAAATCAACACGTGTTCACTTAATCAGTCTATCACAATTCATCCAAGACCACATCCACTTTGCACTTTGTTTATCTGGTTATATGCTGATGCTTAACACTGGCTACGTGCCTCCGCTAGGGCCAAGCAAGAGTCCGCAAAAGCGGCCTCACAAATGTTGTGCAAAGCTGCCCGACCAAACAAACCAAACAGGATCAAAACGATTCGAACGACATATCTCTATGCATTGTATTCTCGCGATGACCGAACCATGACATTGTCCAAGTTGCTTCTTCTTCCTTATCTCCCGGGCCTCGTGCTGTGCAACACAATGAACATATTATGGTTGCATCAATTCCCTTCAAGCTGGGCCAACGGCTGCCAGGAGAAAAATCTTGCACCACTTTCACCAGCCTCCAGTCTGCTCGGTGCGGCTGTGAACACACTGAAGGACTTTCTGGCAACAGTAGGATCCTTGCGCACCCTGTGTCCTGGAGGCTAGGCAACGGCAAGCACACGCACTAAGGATCTTTCAGGTTGAGGGCCGTCAAACCTTAAACATCTTTGAACAATCGCCCCGACAAAAATAAGACACCATAATCATGGATAAACAAACATGAAACGGAGGGCTGAGGGGAACATGTATATACAGTATATATTTTTTGTGTATATCTACGTATATATTCTCTTCCTATAACGTTCTCTCTCTGTCGACCCCTTGCCCTATGCAATCGCCAGCCGACAAACCAGTTCAATTTCACAGCGCTGCATTAACACTGCAGGCTCGCTGCAGCGTCACCGAAGAACCAATGTTCCTCCTGACAGATTCCTTCCTCCGGCTCTGGCGGCGTGATTTTCATCAATATCGCAATGTCGCCATGTCATCAATCCAGGTTTATCGTTTTGGTTTTGGCAGCAAAACACGGCGGATGATGTTGGTTTTGGGGGATGTGCGTGCACTCTGGCTGCATTGCAAGCAGCTTTTTGCAGCGAACAATTTGCTTACACCCTCTATGGCACAAGCGTTTTGGGACCGGTACCAAGTTCCAACCACAGGGCGACATCATCTACGTGTGAAATGGACAACAAAATGTTTGAAACAAGGCTCTTCTTCGCGTCGCAAGTCCTGCCAGGCTCTTCTTCGTTACCAGTATTTGCACCTCAGATCTTCCATGTCCAATGTGACACCTTCTCATAGCAAAGGTTTTACTTGGAGTATCTTGGACCGCTGTGCCTTCTGAGGCCGGGACCAAGCCAGTTGGCCCGATTTTGGGGAAAGTATCCTGCTCGCTCAGGGTGTCCCGACACCTGACGTTATTTGCAACCTGCTCAGCCGCTCCGCAGCACGACTGGGCCGTTGCCTGGCCGTAGAGCCAACCTGCTCCACCAGCCAAGACCTGTGAGAGTATCATAGAATGTCACATGAATGTCAACGTTGCCCCAACAGTACCATGGATCAACGGAACGTAAGGTTGTAGGCCTCTACAACCTCGCCGGCTTCCACATGCAAACCTGACACTGGCAGCAAACGTAACCATAATTACCTTCTCTATTTGTGTAGTTTTGTGAATGCTCTTTGTAATTCGATGAGACAAAACGTTGATTCCACAAATCGAACAATAGCGAGAACACCCCTTGGCATTTAAGCGCTCAACAGTGTTCCCTCATTTTCTCACCCTCTTCCAGCTCCTGTGGTGAGAACCTGTCTCCGCTGCAGCGGCTTTTTGCGCGATCGCTGACCGCTTCAAGCACTGATTGCCGGGATTTCAGTTTTCTCTGAGAACAGTGCCCGAGGTCCACGGAAACCAACGCGTGCTGATCTGCACTTGTAACCTGAAAGGGCGGCAGCACATGCGTCAATTTTTTCTTTTAGACAAACATCTTCGGGTACGGTACAGGTGGATCTGCAATGGCTCCCTGTGTCAATGCTGACCTTTTCGTTGACACCAATTGTCAACAAAACGCGCTGAAACATGAAGGCCTCCTCTGAGACTCTTGGGATCTTTCCAATCCAGGACCTTGCGGCTTGTGGCCGAAAGACTCTGAACGCTGCAGGTCCCCATGCGAGCACCTACTGGCTTGCATTTTTTGCTTGCTGGATTCTGCCGTTTTTCCTGTCACTCCCCAGTCTCTGGCCCAATGGGCGGTATAGCTTGATCCTTAAAGATCTTCAGACCAACGCCCGGCACAATGGACGTTCGTGCGTCACCTCTACTTTGCCAAAGCAACTTCAAACCTAAGCATGCAACAGCTAGCTGCTATGGGCGTCATAGCTGAAATCTGCTTGGCAACGGCACGAAGATCAAGGTCTCTGTGCGTTTAATTGAGGATAGTTCACAATTACACAATGCGACGGACCTGTCCAAAGACAATAGTTCCAATCTGCACTGTTGCCAGTCTTGGCAGGTCACAGCCCGAAATACACACCGTATGAGCTTTTCTAGTTCGATCTAGTTCGAGTGGAGCTGCAGCAAACATACCTACAAACCTGTGAGCATGTGATGGTCGGACTCGGGGCATGTACACCACTCCAGGCAGACGCTGCCGGCAACAAACGAATTATTCAACA